GTCACACTTCCATCCCTCTCAAAACACCATTACAGATGTTTATTTGCTGAGGCCAACATGGGCACATTTGAATACTAGGCTATATCGGAGTGTTTTGCTGCCATGCAATACAACCCAGTTACTAAAAAAGCAAAGGCACTGAACCTATGTTTAAAACCTCAGCTCATCTGATTACTGGGTTAGTGGAGAGTGAAGGCTGATGCAATCCTAAATCTGGCAGCTTCAGCTACTAGGTGTGACAGGAAGTGAGCAAAGCCAGGCATCTGAGAAGCAAGTCACAAAAAATGTCTGTCACAGCACCAATGAAGTCTGAGGGCTGGTGACATCTTGGGGTATCTGGGACCTGACTCCTGCACTCCAGTGCTAGGTACACACAAGTGCTCAATATCAGTTAGTCAAAGGGACTGACAAACTCAGTGTTAGTGAAAGGCTGAAAGAGTTGTTTATAGAACGCCCAGGCCCTCTGGATCCTAGGGGATTCTGCCGTATCTTCAGAGAGACAGCAATGTCGCCCTTGACGGCTGGGAGCTGGCCTAGCTCTATCACTCAGACCTCAGTGTTGCTATAAGCTGGCCTGGCACCCACAGCCAAGCCATGATGTTCTCGTGTGGAACACAATTTCACACAATATCAACATCAGACAAGGCCAGTATGTGACTAACGGATGAAGACAAAAACAAGACCATAATCGCACAGACAAACATTGTCCACATCACAAAAATTGCCCAACATCACTAATGAATAACTTCCTTCTTTAACAATGGTAGCTTTAGGCTCACTCCATTCTCCTTACCTTCTAGGTAAGAACAGTTAAGATATCCAGTTATATTATTAGCCCTGCTTCCTGACGGCATCCAATCCAGACTAAGCTCTGCTTCCTTGGGCCTAAACTCTCTAAGTTCTAAGGCTGAGATAAGTGCAGCTGCCCATGGCGTGTAATTTCCCTTATTCAACAGGTAAATCCAACTTTGTTCAACCGTGTGTGTGTTCTGAATGATCTTTGGCTAAAAGGAATGGGCAGTCCTCAGCCATAAATGCCCCTTCGCAGACTAGCAATGCCTCTGGTAGCCACTGTGCCTAAATCACAGGGAGAAAGGAGGAAAAAGAAAACAGACAACGGAAGACAGAAATCAGTGGTTGTCATGTTCCATTCCAGAGTGACAAATAAAGATGACTTCTACAAAGGCCAATTTCCTGTGGCCCACCCAAGACTATATGTAATGTTCTACTCCTCCCTCCTACTAAAGATGACAGAAATTGATCATCATAGAATTAAGCATGAGCCTACGCACACAACCCAGCCATTCACTAACTCCAGTACTTTAACAAATTGTTACTCAAGTTACAACTGATGGACACAATTAAGGAACACAAACTATTAAAGTCCTATAACCACCTTGAAGTAGGAACAAGGCCTAGAACCAGAGAAGTCTGGCTTGCTTTCCAGTGTGTGACCTGAACAAGTTACTTAAACTAAGCCTCCGTTTCTCACTCAGCAAATTAAAAGAACTAACACCTGGCAGGGGAGATACCATGATCACGAAGGTGGTTTTCCCAGGGCGAGGCTAATCCATTGCACTCCGGATGTGCTGACACCCTGAGATTTCCCCAAATGTGGGAAACTCGACTGCATAATTTGTGGTAATGGGGGACTGTGTTCACGCTCTCCCCTGGTAAAAAAATAAAATAAATTTTTAAAAAAAGAACAAACAGGCCGGGCGCGGTGGCTCAAGCCTGTAATCCCAGCACTTTGGGAGGCCGAGGCGGGTGGATCACGACGTCAAGAGATCGAGACCATCCTGGTCAACATTGTGAAACCCCATCTCTACTAAAAATACAAAAAATTAGCTGGGCATG